TAGAAGCTATGATATTCCAGATCACCCTTTGAAATTCGTGCGAGTTGGTACTCATCACAAGCAAGAAGCATCTGAAGACGGGGAAATATGTTTTGTATGGGCGCTGAGATACACACAGATCTTTGCAGTATTTCCCAATCCCTCCCTTGGGAAGCCTCTTGCCCGGTACAAGTATGATACAAGTGGGTGGCAGACTCCATAAAACGGCGATCCCAGAGGTCGTTGGGGCGCATGAAAAGGTGAGGGTGGGTCTCCTGCCATATGCTTGTTCCTCCCATTTGGGAAATTTATTTAGGCTGCTCTATTTAGCGTTAAGTATGGTCCCGCCGAGAAATAGTAGCCACCTGAACCCAGCGTCCGCAGGGGAGAGGCGTGCGCGCACTGTATAAACTGGGGTTATTGAACCCCTCTCCAAGATTCTAGTATTGACTTCTTTGTGCAAAGGGCGGGTCATCAGGGAGGAGGTTGCTTTCGAACCCCCACTAAGACAGATAAAAATAGAGGGGTGAAACAGAGAGGAAGCTCTGGTGCCCTAGAGTCTTGTTCAAGCGTTCCATTCCTGGCGCCAGTAAACTGGAAAACTAGACTCTCTTTACCCGCTTATGTTACATTCTACTATTACATTCTACAGCAAAGACTTGTAGTCTTCGATTTTAATTCCCATCGAAATCTCAAAGAACCTCTATCCAAATCGGGCATCCTGCGATAGAGCTGCTCTACGGTTGTGGGGAGAGACATCATACGCTTGGGCGAACGCGAGTGATCAGCGGTGAACCCGGCTAACTCGAGTTCATTCCCAGAGAGGGTGTTTACATCACCATGAGTATTCCAGAACAAGTATTTAAATTCTTATTCATCTAAATGCCAATCCTGGATACCCACCCACCCCTGAAGCGCTCAGGCTATCATACTCCAATATTTTCACGCACGACATGCGTTGGCGGATGAGTCCTTGCAGGGATCCAGAATGACATACATCGGGTCTTAGGCTTGGGGCCTCTAGGATTCTACGAGAATGGCAGCCACCCTTAAGCGCAATTATCCAAACTGAATACCTTCTCTCTTCACTTTAGGAGAGGAAGTACTTGTGGCTTTCTGGATCTACTTCAGGATTGTTGATCCAGAAACCCTTTGAGGGGGTAAGAACCCACTAGCACAGGAATATTTGTGGTATGATACTTTTTGGATGGCTTAGGCGGAGATACTTGATCCTGGGGATTGATGATCTGGGGGGTTGGGTGAGCACTTCCCGGGTGCAGCGGCTGTGGCTGTGTCTGTGGCGGTTGTAGCAGTGGTTGTGGTCACGGTGATGGTGACTTATTGGGAATACCAGTTTGTAGATCTGCTATGTTGATGGGGAGGCATGGGGTCCACCGGCTTATTTCAAGAAGTGATTGGAGAGAAGTTATTCTGCGTTGAGTTATCCCCCCCCCCAGTTTACAACCAAGGTATGATATTGATTATTCTTCTCGGGGAATCTCTTGACCGTAACTACAGTTCGGTATGGGCGTACATTCCTACGAGAGTCAGACGGCTTTATCATTTTGGATTAAACCTCACTTAGACCCAGAACACAGTGGCTTCAATTGCCGATATCAGCGAAATCTGGTTTCTATGATCCTTGACCAGGCCGGAGGGTCGACGGCCGGGCATCCCACCACAAGCCTCGAGTGATGCCCCATGCCCGCCTCTCCGGAATCAACCCTCACGTTCGGGGCCAAACCATTCGTCAAGAACAGATAGGGGAAATCCGGATACTCCGCAGAAGGCGAAGCTCCAGTATGCCAGAAGGAATTGCCATATTAGTATACCGCCCCCTTATCCAAATCGATGCAAATCTTCATATGACAATTGGGAGATCCCGCGTACTAGACTGCAAGGAGATGTCTGCAGGTGCTGCTTTCCTTGACACGCGGCATACCATCGGAGGACCAATTTTATTTGCCGCCCCCAAAAATGCGAGTAACATGGTGGGTAGGGTAGTGGTGAGACTCCCGCAAATCAAACAAGCCCCTTCAACCTCCCCAAAAAGATTCGCTGCTGTAAGCCTTTTTTTCCTTCTTTTCCCGCCATGCCGTGTTGCAGATCTTCCTACCATCGATTGATCCGCCATGATCCTCCATTCCGACCAACAACGCATTCCGGAAGCATTATAGCCTCCTGTTTCGAACTGCCGGTTCAGGGAATTTTAAATCAGCCCTAAGCGCTATAGCAGATGGCATGGAAAGGGATGGGACGAACGTGATATGCCGAAGCCGTACCGGCTTTATGCCAGGCTTGCTGACAGGCATTAGGGGAATGCCTTGCTAGAGGGCGATGAACGCCCAAACTAGGAAAAGGCGCGTCCTGCCTGCCAATGGCTGATGCTGAGCAAACTACGAGCTGGATACCTCCCCGTATTTTTCATGAGATTTTCAGGTTAAGTTCTCGATACAGAAAAACAATGCTGGAGTCTGTTGGCTCCATATCGCCACAATCGGTGGGGCGCATAACACCCACCACGTTTCTCACAAAAAGAAACCCCTAGAAATAAGGTGGAAATGGAGGAGAGAGAAAAAATATACAAGGAGAAATACGCAGCAAGAGCTACACACCTACCCCCAGCGGATTACCGGCGAGCAGTCTAGTATGCTTTTGGCATCTCTACTGGGGAGATCGTAATGCGCTGGACCGTTATTAGTTCGGGTTGTTCCTAGGAGACATACGACTCAGTGCTCCCTCAGGATTTGATAGGACCCCCACAACCAAGAGGTTACGCCCCTTGACATACGATACAGGGCTCCGATGGTGACACCAACCACTAGCTGTCTGGGGGGAAACCAGGAGTGGGTACTGGAGCACTGATACATGAGGAACTCTTAACGGTGGAAGCAACGGACAACGGGGGAAGGGACAATTCAAGGCGGCTTTAGTGATCCTTGAAGTGTTTGGCGGATTGGTTTCACCGTACCATAAAAAAATATACAAACTAGGTACTGTACGGTACTCGAAGTTGATCGACTAGTTGGAAAAAGCAAAGAAAGAAAATAAAAAAGTATCAAAAAAGCAAAAACAACATGGGGTCAAAGAAAAGGGAAAAAAAAGAAAAGAAAAGAAAAGAAACACCAGTGAATAAGTTGGGCCAAACAAGGCTTCGCCCACCACTCTCCGAAAGATAACAACAAACACGCGGGTCTAAGACCAAAAGGGTATCTGTATGGGATACTTGAGAATTAGTAGTGAGTTTTCCAACATTCCTACCAAAAATCATTCACCGGAGTATGTAAGATACCCCCCCCGCGCGCGGGCGCGCGCAATCAACCTCTAGAACATCCGTTAGGCGCGGTCAGAATGGAGATCAACCCCAGGTCGGTGTATAGGAGCGAAGCTCGACAGAGGTTTCGATAATCCACTATAGGGTTTTTCACCCCCCACCATCCCCCCCCTTTGACGTACGTCAGCAGTTCCAAACCAACCCCATTTGGTATAATAAGCGAATTTCAAACGAGGTTTTTTCTGTCTCTCCTTAATACCTCACTTCATAGCTGGTCACTCGCCGGGTGACAAAGCAGGAAGCCTTATTTCTCATTCCCCTTCTTGGATCTTAACGATAGTCAGTCCCTCACACCCGGGCTGTGCCGGGGCACTTTTTGCCCATATGATTTGATGTCTTCAATTTACTCATAGCTAATGCAAGGAGATTTGGATCCGTTTGAGCGGCAACGTACGAGGGAGGGAATGATAAAGGCCGGAGCGGAGAACGGGCTTTCGACTAGGGAAGTCCAGAAATCGGAGAATAGATTGGCCGTCACCAATTGAGATACTGGGATGTCTGGATCACTACTCATCAAGGGTATTGAGGTTTATGGGAAATCAAGTTGATAGTAAACTAACCCAACGATGGCCCTAAGCCCCGATTAGCAATAAATTCGCAACTTTGCCAGCAGCGGATGCTATCATAGTTTGCCCAACCCCCATGGGAATATGGGGGTTAGTTTGAGATTGAAACCGCAATCACCCCTGTCGCCCACAGTCCAAAGCCAGAAATAGTGGCGTGCGCTAGTCGTCTGGGGGTTACCGCCCGGATCGACATGATCAACCGCTTGACGATATACTCGCTTTGAGATCGGAAATTAATGGGAGGGAGCTAAAAGGGGGAAAAAAACCCTTCTAGCAAGGAAACCTAGAGTACCATCACCAGCGACTCTCCCCTCCTTCGAAGCCGGGATATGGGTCCCCGCCAAGTCTTCCAATACGCTCTAGCAGGAGAGTGAGAATGAGGGTAGCGTCAGGGGTAGTAAGTCGTAGCCCTTTTGCAAACCGGTAGACTCCAGGAATCCCCCCCCCACCCCCCCCGGATGGCCTTGGGGAAACAATTTTACTTTTTTTTTACTCTGGTCCACACGAGGCTGACTAACCCGACATCTCCGGGCTGTACCTGTGCCCCTAAGCGCACCAGACTGCTGGGAAAGTAAATACTTGCTATCATACGTGCCGGTGGGGGTTGGGCTGAGCCTAGGGCCCCGGTCGTTATGCCCAACGGGCTCACCCTCGAAGCCCTGGGGAGAACCCATAATCTAGAATCGCGTCCCGGGTATCTGCTCGCTCTCAATGGTATCATAGCAGTTTGCCCCGGGTCGCGGGTTTCTGAAGTAGGAATGGGCAGAATTTTTCAAAAGTCCTCCCGAATGTCGAGCGTTTCTACCACCCATCCCCCTACCATGACTCTAGTATGGGGAGAACATCCCTGAAGGAGATAGACTCGAAACCATCTGACTGGCCCGATGGAGCTACGCTATTCAATCTTGGAGCGGTATCCTTGGAAGGTTATTCATCAAAACGGCACAGTTCCGATTATTATTATTAATTTTTGACGTCGTGTCAGCCCCCGCTCCCGGAACCAACGGGAAACCTTTGTGGAGTGCATGCGATGGAGTCGCCGGGGAATGGTCGCATCCATTCTGGGGATTTTTGTGGACTGGATGGTCTTTTTGTAATTATTTACGCCTGAAGCCGGGTTGCGGGGTGCGTCGTGGGAGTGAACTTGGTTGCTATACAGACAGTTCAAAAGCCAAGGTTTTTAGCCCGATAAAGACACTCCATACATAAACCCTGATCTTCATCAATCTGAACAAAGGAGACGAGAGACGATGCTAGCGGCAATACTTGAAACGAAGACGTGATAAATACATATGGGAATAGAAATAGAAAAAGAAGAGCAAAAGCCAAGAGATAAAACGCCTTCCAACGCCCATGCGCCCGCATATAAATGTACCAAGCACTCGAGGGATCAACCTAGATGAATCGCAATACTAACGCCTTCCTCCCGTCCGATATGATTGACAATACTATTAACGGTTTCCGGAACCTCTCTGTTTATCATGACAGTAATCACACGGGAACCTGTATTATCGTTCATATCCTGACCAGCATTTGACGGACGGGGGGTTCTATTCCTTCGAAAGTCTACACCTCTGTTTCCCATGGTCCCCTGGTCCAGGGATATCGACCTCGCAACCATCCTTTCAGGATGCTTCGCAGCGAACTGTATGAGATCCCCTTGACTAAGTGAAGCTGTGAGGTGCAAGTCGTTGAAAAACAAGGACATATCCTCACTATGCCCGGGGGGTGTGGTGACCGGGAAACTTGCCTCTGACCCGGTGTTACCGTTCGCAACCAGACTCGACCAGTCCGCCGGTGAAAGTGCTGGACAGTCGGAGGATGGGGGTGTATAACTCGAGATGCTTGGCGTACCCTTCTGACTCAACAACGGGCTTTCAAACGCAACCGGTTGTTGCTGTTGCTGCTTTGCACTGCTGGGATCGGTGTCACCGCTGCTGCCACCCTTATCGGCACCCCTAGTCTGACAGCTAGGCTCGAAAAGAACGTTTAGTGAGCTTCCCGCCCCCCCAGATAAAGAGTTTCTGTATGCATGCGATCGCGAGCGCTCCCCCTGTCCCTTGATCCCCATATCTCTTGGCTCCTGGCGAAACTGGGGAGCGGGTATCTTGCTAGCTTCCAGTGTGTCCGCTTGGGACTGCGACTTTTGCGAAGATTTTTGGTTTGTTTTCTTGGACCCTCCAGATTGGGACTGCTTGTTCTTGGGTTCCATCTTCCTGATTAGAAGCGAGTATCTGTATTTTTTCCAATATTGGGAATTAAACTGTCAGCCCCCTAGCCCTACACGTGTATTATGCACGCACACATGTGTATATGTATGAATGAATGCATGCATATCCAACTCAATGCAAGCCAACACAAAAATTTTTATGCGTACGTCCCCCTCCCTTGTGGCAGCCCATTTGCATAAAGGGACGGAAGGGGAAACAAAGCAACAAGAGATATTCTCGGCACCGATCAGGAGTTTCGGAGATAGTACCTGTTTTTGGCCGATAGACTTGTCCGGCGAGGGAAGTAAGCTTTAACTATTGCCTTCCAGTTTCTCCCATGTTTCTCGATAGCTTCCAGTAGCCGGACATCCTAGTTACCGAGAACATATGTCAGAGGTTTCTAGGTATGAATTTCCCCACAACCTTGGTGGGGTCCACATTCTGGTCGAATGGACATACCTCTTCCGGAGTCCATGGACTATGATCGATACTTGGGTCCAATGCATCGTACCAACGTTTGGAGCATTCTGCCGGTTCAAACGAGTTAGAAAACGGACAAAAACTTGAAACCCTTGATGGTGAAATCGGGGAGAGTGCAAACACGAGGGAAAGCCAGGAAAACTGGGAAATGAGGATGAATGGATAAACTCACGGTCGCCATTTCTGGTTTTGACAACCTTTTACGTTGCGACGACACATGTTAGTCTAGTTCAGGTCATAGCCAGCACCACCTAGCCAAAGCTGAGTGTAAGGTGAAGGAGAGGTCGCTATCAATTACCTGTGCTACTAATGCCCAACTATGCATCGTCAGTTATGATACCCCAGCTGTTTTGTGAAATTACGAAAACATGCAAAGACGCAGAGAATAAACACATACCGGCTTCCATGCTCTTGAACGGCGGCCCATAACCTTTCGTCCTCGGCAACTTCCCAAGGTCCTTTATTTACTGTTGCTGCTACCTTATAGTGCCATCTCTTCCGACAATCTTTGTTTGTGCGGCCGGGAATACAGGAAGCAATGAGATGCCAGTCACAAGCTCCTTCCCCGCCTATCGGTGGCTATGTTAGCAGCTATTCGCAAAACCCAACCTGACCCCCCCCCCAAAAAAAAAGTAGCAGAATTCATACCTTTCAATACTGCGTCACGAAGTATAGCATCTTCACCTTCGGTCCACTTTCTTCTTTCTCTAGGCATGGTCGTATAAAGTTAGGGCAAGCGAGAGAGAGAGCTCAAGTAAGGTAGTGCCGAGTAAGATATGGTAAGTAGTCAAGGAAAAAAAAAAGTTCAAGATCTTCGAACAAGTAAGTGAACAGAGAGTCAGAGCTGGAATCTGGGGGATGATATAGGATTATTCGGGTGGCTTTACGAATACAACAACTTTCCAACCACTGCAGGCTGATTCTAGCGGGGTTAAAAAGGCTGCTATGTGGAGGGACTAGAAAAAGGAAAACAAAGAGAAAAAAAAGAAAGGATGTATGCCCGGAACAGGGACTTTAAGAAATAAGGAATTTCCCACGAGCAGCTAGGTTGTGGGTGAGTGGGTGAGTGAGCAAGTACGGCCTAATTATGTGTGTAGGTGAGAGAGCGAGGCGAGTGAGGTGAGTGAGCTACAATGCTCTTCCGGGGAATGGGAGAAACGATACAACTGCCTGCGTTTCAATACAATAATGGCAGTGCAGCAGCTCGTCACTGAACAGGGGAATAAAAATCAGAAACCTTCACCGCGCGTGGGGGGGCAGCGGTGGTGGTGGTGGTGGTAGTGGTGGGTGAGAGAGTAGGAAATAATAAACGTCCGCTCCATCGCCATGTCAGCACGTGTGTCGCATGCTGTGGTACGGGAGTCCCAAATCGTCGTTAGTTATTTTTTCACCTTCATTCAAGAGAAATGAGGGAAGCACCCAGTAATGTACAGTACTCGAGTATATTAAGGCAGAATTCTCTCCTCGTAATGTCCGCTATCCTGTTATCATACCTGGCGAGATTCCCTGGATATGTTTGCCACCCATGCCTCGGCTAAGTCCAAAAGATTAAACGATGAGATGTGACAATTTATGCGTTTGGAAGAAGCAGGTATCTTTTGATCCAATTTCTACTTCGACTGCTGCACTGTACCGATACCCTTCCCTGCTAGTTAAACTAGACGAGCCCCTGGTTGGGATGAAATGTAGGGAATTCTCCTGGCCCGTCGGATCGACGAGGATTTTCATCAATACAGGTACTGTACGAGTACTGTACAGTGCAGTACTCGGTTTCTCAACCCATCCAGCGCGTAACGTTTCCGGATAATACTAGACTACCCTACAGTACTAACCATAACACAGTTACTTGTACCATTTTACACCAATAACGGTAACCTATGTGTGCGAGTAATTCAGGTAAACTACAAGTAACCCAAAAATCACAGAACCGGCCATGATACAGACATCAAAAGCCTCCCCCGTTACATATGATCCCCCGGATTACCACACTTGGAATAAAATACATGCATAAGGTAGCCCCTGGTAGATAGAAACCAAGTGGCGCGTCTAGAAATCCCTAGGTCTGAAGAAATTACAATCACGTTCACAGCTCGGAGATTCCTTAAAACTTTGGAGGAAAGAATGAACGCGAGGGTCGCTCCTTGCCCCGGGCAGGAAGTATTGCACCTGGAAATGGGGATTAAAGAAATCCCGGTATACTGTTTGGCGAAAAATCTGTGCCTATCTGAGCGCCAATTGAAAACATACTCCCCCCCCTTTTTCGGGTATAATACTGCTTGCATGAGACAAGTACTGTACACTGAGCCTCAATTTTAACCTAGGTTTAATCGAATGCGGCCAAGAAGGAAACTAAGGATCAAATCAAGGGCTCCACGATACACTGCAGTAAACACGCTTAACACATATCGGTAATACAAGTACCGTACAGAACAGTGCATCCATCTCATACGAATAATTACGAGAAGCTCTATTGAGCAGGAGGAAGAAAAAAAGCAATGATCATACACGACATGCCAGTAACTTGTTGAGGGAAGCAGTTTGCAAAAGAGGACAGAAGAGAAAAAGTAAATAACAAGAATGCCATAATTTCGTGCCTCTGTCGCCCGCAGAGGGGTGCCTTTGATCCAGCCAAATATGCCGGTATCTGGTCTTGAGTCTGCATTTAATATAGGGCTCGACCGACATTCACGAAAAGGAAAGTATAACAACTGCTTGTATCTTTGAACGGAAACACATCCAATCGCTCTCTTCTTACCTTTACTTTTCTAAGAGACTATGATTGGAATGTCAAAAGAAAAAAGGAGTGACGCGCACCTTCACCTTCTGGTGAGCAACTCCGGCGGCGTTTTCATCCACGCCTGCCGGGCCAAGCCTCGTCCGCGCGCAAGGCCCTGAAGGGTGGGTGACACGCAGGTGAGTCTCAAGCAGTGAGAAGGAACGAGATACTACCGGTGGTCCGGCTATCGGCAGTAAACGCTTTAGGAATAAAGTAGAGGTTTCTCGATTGGCGAGCCGGGTGCTTAGAGGGCCCGACGGTTAGAGGCGATGAGGGGGCTCCATAACAGCAATTTATTGTGTCAAAAGTGCGTTCTATATTACGCTGAGCATAAACGAAAGGTTGAAGTCCTTGGATTTGCGTGCAGGTACCAGGAAAGTCTGCTCAATCACGAGGAGAATGAACGAATGTTTGAGGAGGGCGGTAATACAAAGGGTTTCCATGCTGGGGTGTTTGGGAGTTTGGATTGCACGCTACAAGTGCCTGTGCCTGTAGCTAGTTATAATAAACCAGTAGGAAGAAAACGAGTCTCATAACACCCGCAATGGCCACTACCGCATACCATACCACTCACGGCGAGGGACGCCAAGAGTCACCCCCCTATGATGTGGGATTTTTTTTATTTTCTATTGTGAGATTCGGAAGCGTAGGAATTATAAATCGCCAATCACAAATCATGACACAGTTTTTCCCCGACGCACCTTAACGGCGTACCGTTCGCTGCCCGCGCCATGCCCTAGCTAAAGCTCCAGGCGTCTCCGTCTCACCCCAGCAAGCTAATTTTCAAACAAGGCATCGATTGCCTCCCTGGTATCATAACATCGCAAGGACCAAGCAGAAAGGGCAAGAAATACAGCCCTGTGATTCCAAGCGTGCTTCTGTTTCACAAATCCCCACCAGAGGAAGAACGAAGAAGGAAAAAAATATATAGAAATAAATATATAGAAATAAATATACATAAGTTATACATATATGTAATATTATATATTATATATTATATAAAATTAATTACCAGAAAGTCCTTAGTTAACTCTTTGACTCCGATGGTAAGCATAGTAAGGTATACGAAAGGCTGAATATTTCTCTACCGTGCGACTGCTGTGTTAAACGCGAAGCGGTGATCACGGCAGTAGAGGTACTGTACCGCTTAGGAAGAAGAAGTTTTGGTGCTTCCCCGAACCTCCACTATCCTGGCCTGGCCTGGCCTGGCCTGGCCGTCTACCATCTGCATTGATTATGTCGGCATATTTGGGGATATCAGCAACATCCACCAGTTCAAAAGGCACATTCTATCCAATGCTTACACTGTGAATCTTAGGCCTTATGATTCTTCCCTCCCTACACGATCCCCACTGTTACAAAAGTATCTCTCACGTAACATCTCTTCATGTTCAGCGCTCTCATACACCAAGCATGCGGCATATCTCTCCGGGTTTTTTTTCTCTTCTCAGTCTGTCGAGGTTCAAGATTTTCCGGTTTTTGAGCTACTAGATTACCAGCAGGATCCTTTGGACACCGTAGAATTTGCGTGGTTTTTCTCCTTTTGTGTTGAACCTAATTCCCCGTCAGATGGCAAGGACTAGGGGTATCCTCCTTAGACCCTCCTCCCCCATTTCAGGTAGAGAATGCTGTGGGGCATCAGGTTAACTTAGATCATTTGTAAGAGTCAACGCCGCGCGGATGATCATTTTTCCTTTCACGTGAATCGTGAAAAATGTGCAGCTATGATACCAAGTTACCACTTCTAATCATCCAACAACCTACCAGTTAACAGTTAAAACAGGGAATTAATACGAGGGAGGGTGTTACCACTACGATACCATATTAACTCTTGCGATTTGTTATCTCCGTTAGGTTACTCTAAATTATCCTGATGGTACCGATCTGACGACCACCATTTAGAGGCAAAAGTTCTTAATTAGCGCTTTCCTGACGCAGTATGGCCTGAGTCTTTTGGCTTGTTGAATCTCATTAGTTGGCATTCGCAATCTCTTAAACCTGCCATGCTAAACCCATCTTTGACTAGTGTTCCGATTTACAGGGATACTCGTGACATGACGGAGATAGCGAATCGCAACAGTAAACACGGCACCTGTACTAGTACTGTACTAGTACTGTACCACTAGATTACTATACAAGACTCTTTTGGCAAATTCTCCGCGATTTGTATTTAATACGAGAAATCCCAATATTTTCCGTAGTGAAAAGCGAACACCTCAATTGACCACATTGGGGATACCATAATATGCTTCCACAATGAAACTTTTCAGATCTTAGTACCGGTACCGCATTTTAGGGGACAGTACTGTGCGTGGCTTGCTGAAGATGGATAAACTCTGGACGGTGATGTGGGTCGCGCAAAAACGACACCGAAGTTCACAGCGCACTGATCCCGAGGTTTTGCCACACAACATTAAGATTGTGGTAACTGTTAGAGAACTAAGTAGGGCGTGCTGCTGGATCCGCCCCGTCACAGGTGGAGGGGGTTCAGAGGGTGGAACGGTATGTTATGGCCAAAGCTTTGCGTTAGCACGAGAGCTTCCCTGATCTGGTGGAATGAGCAAAAAGTAATACGAGGGAACCAGAGGGAGTAGTGTCACTAATGAACACATTTGTCGGAGCAAAGCGTGGACACCCAACAGGAGATTTGAGCACTGCATCTCCGTAATGCCCAATGTCACCAAACACATTAAGTTAAATATAGCTCACGATCGCACGAATAAAACCGCACTGCGAACGTCCGGTTCCAGGAGACAATTTTTTTCAAGTTTAAAGATAAAAATAAAAATAAATTGACTGAGCGAGGCCTTTTATAACCACAGATACTGGGGGAGTTTAGCAGCTCACGAAGTCCGAGCTCCTCACCCAAGCTGAGAGCTGCAATGCACCATCCAGTATGGTCTCATACGGGGAGTGGTGGTTCAAACGCCCAAGGGCAAATACGACGGTGCCAAGTGCTATTTGACACTCTCCTCTCCACAATCCAAAATAACTCCATTCACATGAAATGGTAACTTAACAGTTAGTTAAACCAACTCTGGGGTAACGTTGGAATGAAGTCTGAGCAACATGGGGCCGGCTAAGTCTGAGGTCGTATCATGGCCCAACTTCTTAAGTACTTCCCATTGGAAAAGCATCCAGAAGTCTTGGCACGGTTGAGGTCGAGGAGACCCCCTGACTTCTGAATACTTTCGGAACCGACAAGTATGTACAGTACCGTATAGGCTCTCCTACCCGTTTGTTGTTTTGTAACATTATGTCAACCTCACCACAGAAAAGAAATAGACTTTATCCCAGACACCCAAGCAGTTAGAAAAATGACGATCAACGTTGATCTTAGCGTAGAAGGGCTAGAAAATCAATATTGTGCCAGATTACTCTGGTTTTAGACCTTTCTCCCTAGTTCAAAGCGGTAGATCTTTTCCAACCCTTCATGAGATATAACTCGAGTTCGATTTTATCGTAGCGTGCGAACTAGCATATAA